CTAATTAATAATCCGTGCAGCGCATCGGCAGCTGGTTCCGTTCTAAGGACCATATCCACACAAGCATCAAAGATCAGAACCAAGTAATCAATGATTTTGCTACTTGCCTGCCATTATCTAAAGAAAATCTGCCATTCTCACACGCTATCCAGTTTACTTTGAACTGCTTCCGAGTTCAGATGGCAACCACCAAATCTTATATACTTAAGAAGTTTACCCTCACTACTTGATTTATCTCAACATGCAAGCTGTCCACATCACCAACCATGCCACCTAAGCAAAAACTGATTCCATTTGCAGCCACATCATCTTTATTTTTATAGCTAGCGCACACATAGTTTCATTAACAAATCGTGGGACTTAAAGTTTTCCTTAATACACAACGATCATGTTCACTGGAGTAACCCGTCGTTTCCACATGATTCAATTATTCATAGTACATTTACCATCCTGGCCACTGAATCGATACGTTGTTTCCTTACTATTCATACTTGATGTGTTGCAGTCCTGGTCACTGAAGCAACTCATCGCTTCCTATTCGTAACGGATGGCGCATCCCATTTATAACTCGACGAAGAGCCCAGGTGCATCGTGGTCTCTCACTTCCCAACGCCTCATCTTTCCACCTACTCACTCCAGCGCGAGCGACCTCGATGCCAAAATGCGGTTGGATGTTGCGCCGCCGCATCGTGCCCGGACGGAACCGTCACATGCCCATAGTGTGCTGCTGGCTCCCGCATGGGCTTCGCTTGGCCGAGCAACACACCAACCATCCGCATGGGCTTCTCCTGCCTGCGGCTGCCTGCCACCCAGCACCGTTGCGGCGCCACTAAGATCTTGTTGCCGCCCGCCGAATAGCCCTCCTTCTTTTCCTCTAGCATGGAGCCCGGCGAGCCGGTCGGCATGTTGTGAGGTGGGAGACGAAGAAGAGGCCGTGCAGTTGGGATATGCTCGCATGTAACAAACTACTTTTCTTATTGTCTTTTTTGTCTTCTCAACATCTGTAGTGCCACTCTAAGCGCATGAAATTTGATTGCAGTGTGCAAACTGACTGCTCCCTATCATTGGCGTCAACGTTCTCGTGTGCAGGCTCAACGGGTAATGCATGACTCTTTTCCTAATTATTTTTATTATCGAATCTAAAGTTCAACTTAATCTAGAATTAGTAACCAATTAACCATCACATATTAGGATTGTATCAGTTCTGTTGTATTTTATACATATCTATGCATTGGATTTTGTTCAGAGAAGTTTGGATCTATACTTCTAGGAGCAGTCCCCGGTCGATCTCTTAACATCTGTTATTTGTCGATCTCCCAATAGTTTGTTAATTAATAAAGAGGGAAGAATGTCTGAAGCACAAAATTAATTAAGTTTAGCAAAGGCAACCAAGACTACCCCCTTGACGGTCAGAATCATTGCCACATGAAAAATACTTTTACCAGTTTGCATGAATTAGTCTGTTCTTTTCAAGAATATTCTGCAGAGTCCATTTTGCTGTGCTATCTACCCCTGCTTCAAAATAAATTTTTAAGTTTGGTGCATCCAAAGGACCTTACGCTAATCCCTTCATTTCCCCGTGGAGTATTCCTACGCTGAAGTATAAATTATCAGTACATCCTCCTCAGTTACAATTATGATAACTTCAATTTTAGCCTGCAGGAAAGAATTTGCAGTAGAACCACGAGAGGAAGCCATGACATAGAGTTTTTTGCAGCAGGAAAGTTGTAATCAGTCACATCATCATTTATTTCGATTATCTCTGATGATCATGGGAGCTATAGGGATAAATGAAAACTACACGATTTTGTGAACATGCATCAGGGATGTGTTTACTTTGCCTTATTCTGATTGATGTAACCGGGTGGGCCCTTTGTGCAAGCAAAGTTTCATCTATCTATGACACAACATTCGACATTTATATCCAATGTTCTGTTTCATAGCTCTCATCAGATCATATGTTAGTTGTAAAGATGAATTTCAAACGGGCTTTACCAGCAGCTATCTACCGGTTTATGCTACAGGTCGGAGCTTATTCTAAAAAATATGAATAGCCAAACTTTCATACTCAGGCTTGGCTTTGTCATATGTTTAGCAAGGCTGTGATTTAATGTATCTAAGCTGCATTTTGCCTGGGTCATGCAGTGACATCAAGCAATTCGACGGGAAAAAATGTCGGGACGCATATTGTTTTTTAGTTTTCAGCTTTATAATATCTACTTGCAACCTGCAAATATGATGAGACGATATTCCTCAAACCTATTTTTTATGAAGTGCACTATGTCATAGTTGACACTCTTAGATAACCAAGATAACCTCTCAGCAATCAAGCATTGATAATCCAATAAGACCCTTAATGTCAGCTAAGAATACCGCAGCAATGTGCGGTGCACCACCATATCCTATATAACCAAAAAGACATGTACACATGTAACCTCAATAATTAAATAAAATCAATCATATTTATTTTTTAGTTTTACTTCTCATATTACAAATCAAATATTCATGTTTCAAAGAATCAAATCTCATCATAATATATTGTAACCAATTCCTGCAGCAACGCGTGGGGTATTATCTAGTCTACAATAATAGTGGAGGCAGGAGAATAAAAAAAAACAGCAGCAAACGTAAACATCAGACAATAATAGTTCCCCAGTGGGCAACTAAACACCTCAGGTCAAAGAAGATGGAAGAGACCACATATCCCCCACTTGGCATCGTTCACATATTGACAGATAAGTCAATGATTGCTCTTGACCGAAAGCGCCTTTCACAATAATGCTTCCCATGTACTACTATCATAGTGTCAAAAATGATCTTACATTTTGGGACGGAGGGAGTACTATCTTGCTCATCAAATCTTTCGCAGGCCTTCAGCAACTGTTGTTGAATTCTTTCTCAACTTTTTTTCCCCCAAAAAAACTGCTTCCTTTACTTGGATTCACGTATTTTCCTGTTAAGCAAAGGATGCATTAAGAAGTGATAACATTTATCAGTATTAGTAAGATTTATTTAGTGAAGGTGGTAACGGAACATGTCTGTTCAAGTTTAATTGCGATATGCTGTTAAAATTCAATAAGGATTGGGTCAAGGATGACCAGAAAAGATATGTTTTGCACGGTCAGTTTTCAGGAAAAATGGGCGATTGACTTGCCATTAGAGTATAGCAGGCGGCCAATAGCCAAACATTGAAACGTCAGTGTGAACTAAGAAGCTGCTGGTGGGCTGGTGTCTGATTTCGTTGACCCCAATTTTATTTCTTTCCCCTCATTTCTCTTTTATGATTAGACCACCATTCATGTCTTACCCAACTACAGCACAACTTAAGCATCTGGCTTCCACGCTTATTTCAGCACAAAAACCATGCAGCCACTCCATTTTCCATACATGGAGTACAGCAGAAAATTAACTTTCTTTGCCCTTGTGCTGCTGATCTCCTTGGCCTCTCCCATCAGTTCTTGCACAGAGAAAGAGAAGGGGTCCCTCCTGCAGTTCCTCAGTGGTCTGTCGTCGGACGGTGGCCTCACCGCGTCCTGGAAGCAGAACGGCGCAGACTGCTGCGAATGGGAAGGGGTCACCTGTGGCGAGGATGGGGCAGTCACAGGTGTCTCATTGGCTTTGAAGGGCCTTGAGGGGCGCATAACACCGTCCCTCGGTAACCTTGTTGGCCTTCTGCGCCTCAACCTGTCCCACAATTCGCTGTCGGGTGGCCTGCCACTGGAACTGGTGTCGTCCGGTAGCATCATCGTCCTTGATGTCAGCTTCAACCGCCTCGGAGGAGACATGCAAGAGCTGCCATCTTCAACCCCATCACGACCTCTTCAGGTACTGAACATCTCAAGCAACTTGTTCACAGGACGGTTTCCATCATCCACCACCTGGGAGGTGATGGACAATCTGGTTGTGCTCAACGCCAGCAATAACAGCTTCACTGGGCAAATACCGGATAATTTCTGCAGCAGCTCGTCATTGTTAGCTGTAGTTGAGCTCTGTTACAACCAATTTACAGGCGTCATCCCTCCTGGACTTGGTAACTGCTCCATGCTCAGAGTGCTCAAGGCTGGACACAACAACCTCCGCGGGACTCTCCCAAATGAACTCTTTGATGCTTCCTTACTGGAATACCTCTCACTTCCTAGCAATGTTCTGGATGGAGTGCTCGACGGTGCTCAGATAATCAAGCTCAGCAATCTGGTTACGCTAGACCTTGGAAGGAATAATTTCAGCGGCAAGATTCCGGATTCCATAGGTGAGCTCGAGAGCCTAGAAGAGTTGCATTTGGACTACAACAACATGTCAGGGGAGCTGCCGTCAGCCCTGAGTAACTGCACAAATCTGATAACAATTAACTTCAAGAGCAACAACCTCAGTGGAGAACTTAGCAAGGTCAACTTCTCCACCCTGCCTAGGCTGAAAACTCTAGATATTCTGTACAACAACTTTAATGGCAGAGTTCCAGAAAGTTTGTATACCTGCAGCAATCTGACTGCATTGCGGCTATCTGGCAACAACTTACATGGGCAGCTCTCACCAAGAATAGGTGATCTGAAGCACCTCACCTTCCTTTCACTTGCTATGAACTCTTTCACAAACATCACAAATGCGCTTCACATTCTTCAGAGGTGCACCAACCTTACCACCCTACTTATGGGAAGCAGCTTCAGGGGCGAATTAATGCCAGAGGATGGCTTCATTGATGGTTTTGAGAATCTCCAGGTTCTTTCCTTAAATGATTGCTCGTTGCTAGGTAAAATACCTCTTTGGATATCCAAGCTAGCAAAACTAGAGATGTTGATACTATCAGGAAATCAACTCACCGGATCAACACCAGCCTGGATCGAAGGCCTAAAGCACCTCTTCTATCTAGACATATCAAACAACAGCCTCACTGGAGAAATTCCAAGAAGCCTGATGGATATGCAAATGTTGCAGTCAGAGAAGACTAAAGCCCGTTTAGACCCAAGGATCTTCGAACTACCAGTTTATAGGGGTCCATCACTTCAGTACCGCATACCCATTGCTTTCGCCAAAGTGCTGGATCTAAGCAACAATAAATTAACTGGTGAGATCCCTTCGGAGATCGGCCAGCTGAAATCCCTTGTTTCCCTCAATTTGAGCTTCAATGCCCTAACAGGACAGATCCCAATATCTGTATGCAATCTCACAAACCTGCAGGTACTAGACTTCTCTAGCAACAATCTCATTGGTGCAATCCCAGATGCATTGAACAGACTGAACTTCCTTTCAGCATTCAACATTTCTTACAATGACCTAGAAGGTCCTATCCCATCCGGAGGTCAGTTTAACACATTCCAAAATTCTAGCTTCGATGGGAATCCAAAGCTCTGTGGCTCTATGCTCACTCACAAATGTGGTCCAGCTTCAACACGTCCACCCACCGCTATGGCAACCAAACAAACTGACTACAAGGCCGCCTTCGCGATTGCCTTCAGCGCGTTCTTTGGTGTAGGGGTGTTGTATGATCAGCTAGTATTATCAAGGTTTTTTGGCTAGGACCATCCAGTTTCCATATCAGTATATCTCTACTTCTTTGAGATTAGGCTGCTATCCGGTTCAGCAAAATGTCCATCGATCAAGCTTCCAGAAGGTTCGAGTCATAACTAAAGTTACAAAAGTATTCTAGTGTGAAGCGTGATTCCATCTCGTGGAGATTCACAAGTATATAACAATGTAAGATTGTTGGCTGAAGCTTTCTGTACTAGTAACCCATCCCATATTGTTGATGTTCCCTGTATTTCCTTCTTCTTTCAGGAAAACGAATTCTGTACTGAAACTTCAATTTTTCACAGTTTACTTTGCTTCATGCGAAATCAGTATACTACCACACTAAACGAGATGAACTGATTGTAGTATGGTGCATACGACGAGTCACTGCTATCACAGAACAGCATGTCAAAAACTCATCACAAAATCTTCTTAGAACAAGCACGATAGTACTACACCGAACAGGTTTGGTAAGCAGCGCATCTCGAAAAAAAGAAACCGTCCGTGGCAGGTGTTTTTCTTGGAGATGTACCTCCGCACGGCGCGTCACCGGACTGATGTCCTCCCGACGGCATCCGCCCGACGGTGCGCGTTGCGAGCTCCATGATTCCGGGGTTCCGGTCCGGGCCGTTGCGGAACTGCGGAGCCAGAGCAAGGCGACGGGGCGTGCCCCTGGGTCCCGAGCTGATTTACTACATGCCTGGCCTCCGGCCACCCGGCTCCGCAGCACGGATTTACCGAGCCCGTCGACCCGCCGGCCGCCGCATTGCCAAGCTGCTTGGGTGCCTCTTCTTTTTTTCTTGAGCAAGCTACTAGTACCTACCTGGGTTTCAGAGTGTTAGGTCGCGAGACGGCGAGAGCTATTTCTCGCTCAGCGCGAGAGTAGCTTCCGTCTCGCTGCAGGTTTTCTCCTGGCTATCGCATATCAGCCAGCCAGGTAAGGGTTTCAGGGACCGGTTCAGCCGTTCGGGCCTGTTTTAGAAGCTTCGCGTGGTATTTTTTTGTACTTTTTTTTCCCTCTCTGTGTTCTTTTGTAGGTTTTCATCTGTTTTTTTCTTTTGGTTTTTGGTTTCTTTGTTCTTCATCAGTTTTCTTCAGGTTGTTCTTCTTTTTTACTTTTTTCAACAGATGTTTACTCTTTTTTTTACATGATGCACATTTTTCTTATGCATCAGAAACATTTTTGTAATGCACCTTTAACATTTTTTAAATGCAATTTTTTTTTCAAATATATATTTCGATGTCTAATTTTTCTAATAGACATTTTACATTTTTGTACAATCTTAAATTTCTCAAATATGATTACATTTTTTTCAAGTATATGTATTTGATGACTACCTTTTTTCATACACATTTTACATTTTTTTCAATACATCATAAACATTTTTTATACATGTTAATATTTTGAAAATACATAATTAGTTATTGTTTTCATATTATGTTCTGATTTAGAAATAATAATACACGTTCTCATTTTTCTTATACATCAGATACGTTTTTATACACGTTTAAAAATTTATAAATATTTTATAAACATTTTTTAAATACATAGTTAACATTTTTATCAAACATTTGTGTTTGATGACTACTCTTTTTATACACATTGTATATTTCGTATATGTCAAAACATTTTTTTAATATGTTTAACATTTTTTAAATATACGACTAACATTTTGTTTGGTACACGATTAATAGTTTCGCATAGAACTAGAAAAAAAATACTCCCTTCTATCCATATTAATTAACACAGAAAAACTAAAAAGGGTAAGGCGCTTGCGTTGACGTGCCGCCGGGATTAGATTTCACACCACCGCTGTCGAGGGTGACAACACCAACAAGCGCGACGCATGTGTGTTCTTCAAGTAAATGACCAGTGGAATTTACAAAGTCGTTGTGGCCCGCCTGGCCCATGCACATGGTGTTGCATGGGCGAGTGTTCTTTCCATCTCGCTTTAGGTGATAAATAGATGTGTCCATTTTGTAGGTAGCCTGCCTTAGACTCGGCCAGGCCTCACTGGATACAATTTGGGTCCATTTTTTTGCCTGTGATGCATCAAAATTCTGGCCGCGCAAACCTTAAAGCAACTTTCAGACGGGCCTGCTAGGAACTGCCAAATCAGTCATTTCCTCTTAATCAGGCTCGCAACATGCAGGGGAGGGGACGTGTCGTCGAGCCCATGCGAGCTGCAAGATGACGCGAGCTCGCATGTGCCCCGGAAAAAACGGCGGGAGGAATTGAGTCACCTCCTGCCAAATAGTCGCCCTATTTATCCCCCTTCGGCTCACCATGAAACCACCGCCACCATTCCCCGCCTTCGAGATCTATGTCCTGGGCAGATTCTTCACCGACGTGTAGGTAAGCGGCGCATCTTTTTCATTTGGCGGTAGATGGCTGCATCGATTATTCTTCCTCATCTTCTCTGATTTGTTCTGCGCCTCCATGTTGCTCCATTGATTGTTGACAGTTCAATCACTCCCTCCTCCTTACTCGTTCGATCTTAGATCTATGATCATGTGGTAGGAGTAGATATGTGAGAATGTGGTAGGTCAAATGATAGTGACGATGTTTTGGTAGCATGTTAGGTTTTGCTTGTCGAAATCGATGAATCTTCTTTTGCATCCTGATGGTGTCCCTACTAGGGGGTTTCTCACCACGTCATCTCCCGACCTGATGGGTCGGGCCAAGGACCCCCGTGTCGGTTCAGGAGTGGTCCACGCTAGACAGCCCATGGCATATCGACGGAAGGCTCATGAAAATTTATCGTGTACCCCTAGATGTCAGATTCGTCGTAGACTCGATTTCCTCATACGTAACTGTTGGAAATATGCCCTAGAGGCAATAATAAAAGCATTATTATTATATTTCCTTGTTCATGATAATTGTCTTTATTCATGCTATAATTGTGTTATCCGGAAATCGTAATACATGTGTGAATAACAGACACCAACGTGTCCCTAGTGAGCCTCTAGTTGACTAGCTCGTTGATCAACAGATAGTCATGGTTTCCTGACTATGGACACTGGATGTCATTGATAACGAGATCACATCATTGGGAGAATGATGTGATGGACAAGACCCAATCCTAAACATAGCACAAGATCGTATAGTTCGTTTGCTAGAGTTTTCCAATGTCAAGTATCTTTTCCTTAGACCATGAGATCGTGTAACTCCCGGATACCGTAGGAGTGCTTTGGGTATGCCAAACGTCACAACGTAACTGGGTGACTATAAAGGTAGACTACGGGTATCTCCGAAAGTGTCTGTTGGGTGACATGGATCAAGACTGGGATTTGTCACTCCGTATGACAGAGAGGTATCACTGGGCCCACTCGGTAATGCATCATCATAATGAGCTCAGAGTGACCAAGTGTCTGGTCACGGGATCATGCATTACGGTACGAGTAAAGTGACTTGCCGGTAACGAGATTGAACGAGGTATTGGGATACCGACGATCGAATCTCGGGCAAGTAACATATCGATAGACAAAGGGAATAGCGTACGGGGTTGATTGAATCCTCGACATCGTGGTTCATCCGATGAGATCATCGTGGAGCATGTGGGAGCCAACATGGGTATCCAGATCCCGCTGTTGGTTATTGACCGGAGAGTCGTCTCGGTCATGTCTGCTTGTCTCCCGAACCCATAGGGTCTACACACTTAAGGTTCGGTTACGCTAGGGTTGTAGGGATATGTATATGCAGTAACCCGAATGTTGTTCGGAGTCCCGGATGAGATCCCGGACGTCACGAGGAGTTCCGGAATGGTCCGGATGTAAAGATTTATATATGGGAAGTCCTGTTTCGGGCATCGGGACAAGTTTCGGGGTTATCGGTATTGTACCGGGACCACCGGAAGGGTCCCGGGGGTCCACCGGGTGGGTCCACCTGTCCCGGGGGGCCACATGGGCTGTAAGGGGGTGCGCCTTGGCCTAATGGGCCAAGGGCACCAGCCCCACATAGGCCCATGCGCCTAGGGTTAAGAGGGGGAAGAGTCCTAGGAGGGTAAGGCACCTCCTAGGTGCCTTGGGGGGGAGGGAAACCCCCCTTGGCCGCCGCACCCCCTAGGAGATTGGATCTCCTAGGGCCGGCCACCCCCCCTTTGGCACCCCTATATATAGTGGGGGAGAGGAGGGACTTCATACCTGAACGCCTTGGCCTTTGGTTGCCTCCTTCTCCCTCCCCAACACCTCCTCCACCTCCATAGTGCTTAACGAAGCTCTGCCGGAGTACTGCAGCTCCATCAACACCACGCCGTCGTGCTGCTGCTGGTGCCATCTCCCTCAACCTCTCCTCCCTCCCTTGCTGGATCAAGAAGGAGGAGACGTGGCTGTTCCGTACGTGTGTTGAACGCGGAGGTGCCGTCCGTTCGGCGCTGGTCATCGGTGATTTGAATCACGTCGAGTACGACTACATCATCACCGTTCTTTTGAACGCTTCCGTGCGCGATCTACAAAGGTATGTAGATGCATCCAATCACTCTTTGCTAGATGAACTCCTAGATGATCTTGGTGAAACGAGTAGGAAAATTTTTGTTTTCTGCAACGTTCTCCAACAGTGGCATCATGAGCTAGGTCTATGCGTAGTTCTTCTTGCGCGAGTAGAACACAATTTGTTGTGGGCGTAGATTTGTCAACTTTCTTGCCGTTACTAGTCCTTTCTTGCTTCAGCGGTATTGTGGGATGAAGCGGCCCGGACCAACCTTACACGTACGCTTACGTGAGACCGGTTCCACCGACAAACATGCACTAGTTG